ATGAGTTAGATTGCAAAGAATATAAAGAAAAATGAAAAACAAGAGTCTGAATGCTGACTCAACATTTACACAAAGAACATCCAGAACATAAGATCTGATACCTCCCCGTTGTCCAGCACAGCCATAGAGCAGAGCTGGCCACAGGCGATGTTGATCACCACTTTGCTCTGCAGGCAGCTGCTGACGCGGCGTGGTGTCGGCTGATTGGCCGTCGACCCAGAGCCTACTTGTCCTGAGTTGTTGTAACCCCACGCGTACACCTGGTCACAGCGGTAAGAGGTCATATATACAGATTAAAAAAATAAAAAATAAAAAATTTCAGTGAGAACAGAAGGGTGACCAACCTCTCCATCACTGGTGAGGGCGATGGTGTGGTGGGAGCCGCACGCCACTTCTGTCACTCTCTTGTTAAGGAGGTTGGTTGATACCAGGGCAGGGGTCAGACCATGGTTGGTGGTCCCATTTCCCAGTTGGCTGTAGCCATTGTGGCCCCAGGCATAAACCTCACCATCTACACAGCAGCGAAGACACTTTGCTTTATGCTGTTATGTGTTTATTTATCAACGAAAATATAAAAAAAGCAGTCAATTTTACATCAACAACAATAAATATATTGATAAAAAACACTAATGAGGCCAAGTTCCAGGTGGATATCAGAGGAAGTGAGGAACAGATAGAACTTTTACAATTATATCAACCAAAAACAACACGTCACACCAGAATGACAACATCTGACCTGTTTATATTTAAATTATCTTCATTTGGAGACAAAACGCTCAAAACGTCTCCATGATGAAGAGTCAGTCATGAATAAATTATCTCTATACATCACCTAAAAGACTTCCTATCTATAAAAACGAGGCGAGAAAGACGCTACATTCATGACACCAAAAGCAAAACAAACAAATCTTAAACATATTAAAATAAAACACTTGAGAAGGTATTTTGTGCAGTGCACATCAGCAGCTGGAATAGAATAAATGCTACAAGTTAAATCTAATATTTGGGAAGAAAATGCATTTTTCCTATCTATAATCAAGTAAAAGAATGTGCCGTATTTTTTGGATTATAAGGCGCAATATCAATGAACGGGTCTGTTTTCATTCATAAGGCACACTGGATTATAAGGCGCATTAAGCAAAACAAAACAAGTCAAATTTTATTCAACTCATTCACAATAACCACTTAAAATCTGTTCGAGGTCAGTAAGTACAACCAGAATTAATACATAAGGTGCATGAGAAAATTAGATGATTATATTCTAAGTGCGCCTTATAGTCCGAAAAATACATTTTTAAGTAAATAGAAAATTGACTTTTGAGCATACCTCTAACCATAAACGCAGAGTATAAATATAATCACAAATTTTTTGTATTGGTTTCCCAACTCCCAACTCATATATTTATACAGCAGTATTGTGGTTGACTATAGAAGGTTATTAGATGCTATATCTGAGCAGAAACGACTAAATTAAATGTGCCGTACTGTTTGTACAATCACTCCTCTTCCTCCTGTAAAAACTTCACCCTGAGGTAAAAAAAAAAAAGATTTGCTGAACTTTTATAATCCAAACTAATTACCTGCTGTGGCGATAACCACATGAGGTCCTGTTCCATAGCTGAGGGACACAATCTTCTTTCCAGACAACACATCAATCCTCCGTGGCTCAATGGTGCTTTGAAGGTCTCCGAGTCCCAAACAACCGCTACAGTTGGTGCCTAAAGCAAAGACCTGCACACACCAAATATCAGAGCTGAAGTGCCACTAATAAATGGTGTATTAGTACTTATGGATACAACTATAAAACGTGAGAATTTATTGGCAATACACCACAAATATGAGTTGTTTTTTTTTCAATAAATGTTCATCTGACCATTTCATCTTACTCGTTACTGTAAAACAACTGCAATTTTACAACATTTGAAAAACAAAATCTTACATTATCCTTTTTAAAAGTGAA